TGGAGAAGCAAGCACAAGTAATTAATAAATTAGAAGAACAAATGGATGCAATGAAAAAGAACAGAAAATTCTATCCTACAGATCATAAGATCAGGAAAATAGAGACAGGAGGAATAATTTGAGGATTAAAGGTACACCGGAAATGTCTCAAGGAGAAGATCTAAGAGATACCATGAGAATATTGTTTAATCCAATAATGGGAAGAAAAGAAACAGAGCAATTGAAGATAGAAAGAGTGCATAGGATAAGAAGATCTCAAAAAGTCCCATCAGATACCCCTAGGGATGTGATAGTAAGGTTCCATCATTATGAAGACAAAGGGATTATTTGGAAGAAGTGGAGTACCAGATAGAGTTTGGTGGGACGAAAGTACAAATTTTTGCAGACATAGCATCAGAGACACTTATCAGGAGAAGGTTACTGAAACCATTGTTGGAGCAAATGAGAAATAGGAACGTTCTATAAAACTGGGGATTTCTGGCATGCCTGACTGGATGGAGGAATGGGAAATCGGCGACACTGAGATTCCCAGAAGATTTAAATGACTTTTGCGAAAAATTAGAACTACAGACTCCATATGTTAAGGGGATGGTCTGGTAGAGAGCAAGAGAACATAAGAGTAGTTGAGAAATGGCAAAGAGTTATAAAAAAAGAGATAGGTGGGGAGGGAGAGGGGTGGTGTGTGGGGGGGGGAGGTGAGAGAGTAATGGGAGTTGGAGGACCCAAATGGAGAGTCTCCTACCCCCTTTTTCCCTTTTTTTTTCTCTCTTCCCATCTCTGCCCTTTCACCTGTCTAATAATGTCTCAGAGATGAGAGCCTATGCCTTCGAAGGCAGGCTAAAGGGGGCTTTAAAAGCCAGGTAGAGGTGTATCAGACAGGCAAGAGAAATGTAGTAAAGAAGAATGGGCAGGGGGGAGAAGAGGATAGAGCGACACGGTGGGTAATAGGGAGCCTTTCCATGCTGCCAATTTCAGACCTAAATATGAGAGATCAGGGTCTGCAGGGGCGTGCATACTCAGAGTTTTACCCAAAAGAAAAAATCAACTGTGACACGGGGTCACAGTTGACTCAAGAACCAAAATAGGTCAGAGGAGTTTTGGAGGGGAGGGGGGAGAAGGGGAGGAAAGGGAAGGTCCTCTTACTTAAAAATTTTGTTTACCATTGCCCCTACAAAGAGGACATAGAGAAAACATTTAAAATGGGAGGAAAAGATATGGTAAATTTTTTGACATATAATGTAATAGGATTAAATACCCCAACAAAAAGACATGAAGGAATTACACCAACGATCGATAGTGGTCTTTCTTCAGGAGACACATATATCCCAGGATTCAAATATGAAGTTATATCCTGGGTAGAGAAGGAAAGGATAACGGCTTAAGAACATTGCGTATCCTACAAAAGCAAAGAGGAAAGGTACCAGAAATTATTCTGTTGGTAGATGCTAAAAAAGCCTTCAACAGAGTAGATTGGGGGTTTAGGATTGATTCACTGAGAACATTAGGAATAGGACCTAGAATGATGCAGTGGATAAAAGAACTATATTGTAGTCCCTCAGCTGCAGGGAAGGTAAACGGCTCATTATCCAAATTCTTTAAGATGCATAATGGAACCAGACAGGGATGTCCCTTGTCTCTGTTGTTGTTCTTGATCTCTCTGGAACCGTTATAAGCTACTGTTAGAAATAGTATGGACATCAAGGGAACGTGGATAGAGGACTTTGAACACAAGGTAGCAGCATATGCTGATGACATGCTGTTTTACATAGCAAACCCCAGAATAACTTTACCAAACTTAAAGAGAAAATTGAAAGAATATGGAGAGTTACAGTTGCAAGAAAAAGTATGTGAACCCCTTGGGATTACGTGGAGTTTTGCATGAATTGGGCATAAAATGTGCTCTGAACATCATCTATGTCACAACAATAGAAGAACATAATACTACACAAACATTAGATGTTGCTATGGTTTAATTGCACATAACATGTAAACATTCACAGTGCAGGGAGGAAAAAGTATGTGAACCTTTGGACTTAATAACTGATTGACCCTCCTTTGGCAGCAATAACCTCAACCAAACGTTTCCTGTAGTTGCAGATCAGACCTGCACAACGATCTGGAGTAATTTTGGACCACTCCTCTTCACAAAACTGTTTCAGTGTAGCAATATTCTTGGGATGTCTAGTGTGAATCGCTCTCTTAAGGTCATGCCACAGCATTTCAATCGGGTTGAGGTCATGACTCTGACTGGGCCACTCCAGAAGGCGTATTCTGTGCTGTTGCAGCCATTGTTTTGTTAAATTACTTGTGTGCATTGGGTCATTGTCCTGTTGCATCACCCATCCTGTGCGGAGCTTCAGTTGGTGGACAGATGGTCGTACGGTTTCCTGCAAAATGTCTTGATAAACTCTGGAATTCATTTTCCCATCAATGACAACAATCCGTCCAGGCCCTGAGGCAGCAAAGCAGCCCCAAACCATGATGCTCCCTCCGCCATGTTTTTCAGTGAGGATGAGGTTTTGATGTTGGTGTGCTGTGCCTTTTTTTCTCCACACATAGTGTTGTGTGTTCTTCCCAAACAACTCAATCTTGGTTTCATCTGTCCACAGTATATTTTGCCAGTAGTGCTGTGGAACATCCAGGTGCTCTTTTGCAAACTTCAAACGTGCTGCAATATTCTTTTTAGACAGCAATGGCTTCCTCCGTGGTGTCCCCCCATGTACTCCATTCTTGTTTAATGTTTTCCTTATTGTAGATGTGTCAACAAAAATGTTAGCATGTGCCAGAGATTTCTGTAGGTCTTTAGCTGACACTCTGGGATTCTTCTTTACCTCATGCGCATTCTGCGCTGTGCTCTTGCAGTCATTTTTACAGGATGACCAGGCCTAGGGAGAGTAGCAACAGTGCTAAACTTTCTCCATTTGTAGACAGTCTGTCTTACCGTGAACACATGAACATCAAGGCTTTTGGAGATACTTTTGTAACCCTTTCCAGCTTCATGCAAGTCAACAATTCTTGATCGTAGGTCTTCTGAGAGCTCTTTTCTGTGAAGCATGGTTCACATGAGACAGTGCTTCTTGAAACCAGTAAACCCAAAACAGGTGTGTGTTTTTTAAGGGCAGGACAGCTGTCAGCAACACATCCAATATCATCACACTGATTGGAGTCAAGGTTGGCTCACTCCTGGCTCCAATTAGCTCTGGGAGAAGTCATTAAGCTAGGGCCTCACATACTTTTTCCTCCCTGCACTGTGAATGTTTACATGTTATGTGCAATGAAACCATGGCAACATCTAATGTTTGTGTAGTATTATGTTCAGCAGACTGTGTTCTTCTATTGTTGTGACTTAGTTGACATTCAGATCACATTTTATGCCCAATTTATGCAAAACTCCACGTAATCCCATAGGGTTCACGTACTTTTTCTTGCAACTGTATTCAGTTTGAAGATTAATCCCTCATAAAGCGAGATCTTAAATATAAATGTTCCAAAGATGGAGAAACAAATGCTACAAAAAGAATTCTCCTTTAAATGGAAAGAAAAAGAACTAATGTATTTGGGAATAAAACTAACATCGCCTATAAAAACGTTATATCAAGCAAACTATATCCCGTTAATAAATGAGATAAAGGATGAACTGAGGAAAGCCTCTATGGTAAAGCTATCCTGGATAGGTTGGATAAATAAAAAAAGATGATAGTGGTACCAAAAGTTTTATATAAATTTAATGATACCAATATCCCTCCCAGGGTCTTTTTTTCAGGTTTTTAAAAACAAATGGTACTCAGATATGTGTGGAATAATAAAAAAAAACCTAGAGTTAAATATGAAGTGTTATGCACTAATAAAAAATATGCCAGATTTCAAGAGATATTATAATTTGGTGTTAGTGTCATGAATTGTAGATTGGATAAATAATACACAGGGGACATGTTGGGTAAAAATGGAAAGCTCACTTAGTAAGGCTCCACTAGATAAGTATATATAGATACCACAGGAATTTCACACATGGGCAGGGGCGGACTGACAACTCATGGGGTCCCCGGGCAATAGGGGATCATGGGGCCCCTGTGTCCTTGCCCAAACTCAAAAAAGCCTGTGAAAAAGGTACCAGGGGCATCTCCCTGCACAGGGGATGAAGATACTAGCACTTTGACACAAAACTTATTCAGGATATGGGATGAAATGTACAAACAGAAGGATTGGAAGTTTAAATCACTGTCAATACCATTGGTGGGAACTAAATTTTTTCCGCCAGGAAATGACAATATTTCAAGGAAATGGATAATTGATAGAAATGCACATTTAAAAGATATTGTGGATAAAAGGGGTTTTATGTTCATTACAAGAGTTGAAGAGCAAGAAGGGAATATTTTCTACACTAGATGAGTGGAGGTATGGTTAAATAAGACATTTTGTTGCAAAGCTTCCACAACCACAAAGAACAGAGAAACAAAAATATCCTATGGAACTACTGTTGAGTACAAACAAAACACAAAAACATACCACGTCTAAGATATATAGAACTCTTACTGAAATAGAGAGTTTGGCAAGTTTAAAGTTTTTGTAGAAGTGAGAATTGGAGCTTGGAACAAAAGTAAATGAGCAGCAAAAAAGTAAAAATGTTTAGTTTAACCTCCCTAGCGGTATGATTATTTCAGATTTTTGGTGCTGAAAGCGGTACCATTATTTTGCATGGAAATATGTAGTTTTTTTATTGTAGGCTGTAATTTTTAGGAATAACTCACTGAAATCTGTCCAAAACAAGAGTCTAGTAAACATCCCGGGTATGATAAAATTTGAAACACGAAATCATAAATTATAATTTAATAAATAATCATAAAAAATAATAATAAATAATAATAATACATTTAATTCAATAATATAATCAAACCAAAAACACTGAAATTTGAAATAGAGCACCAAGTTCGCACATCGCTGAGCAAAGTCGCAAAATCGTTTTCAGTGTCTGATGATGAATTTCCCCCACGAATCATCACTCAATTCTGCAAGTGGTTCTGATTTACCATCGCTGTTCTCTAGCTGATCTAAACCCGCTTTTGACCTAAAGGGACACTTTTTGGACGCCATGGACATTTCTCAGTTTCCAGGCAGAAAGAACAGTCAAAATGCAGGCAGGGCACAGGACAAAGCACTCGGGACAAAATGTATGTGAAATGGGTTGAAACAGCAATGTTTTACTATGTAAAATTCGTTTGGAAAAAAATGAAATTTTTTAAACTTTTCAAATTTCCCGCTGCCTGCAGCGGCGCCCGTACGTCCCGACGTCACAGGGACCGGAACACAGAAGCCGGATGCCGGCATCGGCCGGAGGAGATGGCTGAGGACGCTGCAGGGAACACATCGCGGGAGCGCAGGACAAGGTAAGCTGTGCAGGGAATCCCTATGCAGCGCCGCATGGTAAGCCCGAGTGTAGCTCGGGGTTACCGTTTTTGGTACAGACATTTTACCCCGAGCTACACTCAGGAATACCGCCAGGGAGGTTAACACATGGGACGGTGAATATGAATATAGTTGAAATGAATTATGAATGCTTGGTAAGATGGTATATTACACCTACTGTGATGCATAAATGAAGACCAGAGACCTCACCCCAGTGTTGGAGGGGATGGGGGAGTAGGGGCACAATGGCACATATTTGTTAAGAGTGTCCCAAAATACAGGAGTTCTGGAGTGAGAGAGTGCAATACACACAAGAGATCCAGAAAATAAGTGCGCCGTTGGACCCGCGGGTCTGCCTATTCTATAAATCGGAGTTATCGGTGAAGCAATACAAAAACATGATAGTTTTCCATCTCTTAAATGCGGCCAAAAGCCTTGTACCTAAATATTGGCAAACAGCAGAACCCCCTAAACTAAAAGACTGGATGGATAGAGTTGAGTGTATACACAGGATGGAAGAATTATACCATATTGATGAGGATAAAATGGAAAAATTTAAGAAGGCTTGGGAAGGGTGGTATATTTTCAAAAAAACAAAGTTTTTTAGAAGTGGTCGGAGTACAGGGGAATAAATATAAAGGAAAATAAATAATAACATGGAAAAGACAGAAAGGAAAGAGAAAAGATAAGGTGGGGTAGTGGTAAGAATAATTAAGAAAAATTAAGAAAAAAAAAAAGAATTTGAAGTAAACGGAAGAACTTGGATGATGAGAGGTGGGGTGGGGGAGCAAGTGGGGGGATAGGGGGGAAATTAAGTAAAGATTTTTTGTATTGTACGAAGTTGGTAAGAAATTGATTTTTACTTTTAAAAATGAATAAAGATATAATAATAATAATAAAAAAACCACATTCTGAATCAAACAACAAATCATACATTGAGGAGAAGTCGGAGGTCTCAGAGGCTTCCAGTACGGCTAGTAAGCTGTGCTCCATATTCTCCTCCCAGCATTCGGTATGTCTCCTTCAACCACAGTATTCTTTGCTGCAGTAATGAGTCACTTCACCTGCACAGAAAAAAAGTATTTTCTTCCAATAAATTCTTCCGTAGAGTTCAGTTCAGCTGCCTCTTGTTCACAGTCTTCAGAGCTCCACAGGTGGGAAGCTTCAGTCTACGAGCTCCATTCTTTTATATAGGGGAGAGAGAAATTCCTCTCTGCATCTACCTTGAACATTTAACACTCCGGTCCAGGGGCGGACTGACCATTTGGAAACTTGGCCACTGCCCGAGGGCCCGGGGTCAGTAGGGGGCCCCATGAGATGCCCCTGGTACCTTTTTCATAGGCTTTTTTGAGTTTGGGCAAGGACACAGGGGCCCCATGATCCCCTATTGCCCGGGGGCCGGGGGTCAGTAGTGGTCCCCATGAGATGCCCCTGGTACCTTTTTCATAGGCTTTTTTGAGTTTGGGCAAGGACACAGGGACCACATGATCCCCTATTGCCCGGGGGCCGGGGGTCAGTAGGGGGCCCCATGAGTTTTCAGTCCGCCCCTGCCTCGGTCACAACAGGTGCGACTTGGCATGCGATTTGCATGCCATGCGACTTGCAAGTCACACCCTATTGTCCGCAATTAGAACGTTCATATCGGTGCAGTTCTGACTTGGTCGAAGCCGCACTGATTTCTAAAGTAGGACATGCACTTCTTTTGGTGCGATTTGCATAGACATCTGTGTGAGATGTCTTACAAATCGCACCTGAAATCAGCATGTCACCCGACTTTGAAATTGTTCGATTTCACTGTAAGGTTCCACGCACACGGGATTTTTTGACAACGCTGGTAACGTTAGCTGTGTAAAGTCACGTTAAAACGTGAGTTTTCAGCTTTTTTTTAGCAGTTTTGCATTAGCGGCGTTTTGCTGTGATTAGTGGTGTTTTCCCTAGTTTTTCTACATTTGCTTTTTTAGCAGGTTTTTTGGTAAAAAAAAGTCCAAAAATGCTGGTTTGCGGAGTTTTACCGTGTTTGGCCACGTTTTTTAGCGTTAGAGCGTTTTTAAAGTTAAAAAACTCCTCTAGGAACCCACTAATCCTGGGTTTTTTTCCAGCCAAAAAATGTTGATTCCAGTCTATGTGTTCATGGACACATAGGATAACATGCTGGGGGGTTTACTGGCTGTAGAAAAAAAACGCCAAAAGCCAAAAACATCCGCTGTAAAAATGTCCCGTGTGCATGAGGACTTAAAGTGATACTAAACAATTAAATTAAAAAAAAAAAAAAAAAAAAAAAAGTGGTACTCACCTGCTGTGTGCAGTGGTTTTGCACAGAGCAGCCCTGCCACGTTTGCGTTTTTTAGCATTTTTTTTTGCCCCCAAATCTTTTTTGGGATCAAAAAAATGTCCAAAAACACCGGTTTGCAGTGTTTTACTGCGTTTTTTTCAGCAGCATTAGAGCATTTTTACAGCTAAAAAACTCCTCTTAGAACCCACGAGTCCTGGGTTTTTTCCAGCCAAAAAACGTTGATTCCAGTCTATGTGTGCATGGACACATAGGATAACATGCTGGGGGGTTTACTGGATGTAGAAAAAAATGCCAAAAGCCAAAAACAGCCGCTGTAAAAATGTCCCGTGTGCATGAGGACTTAAAGTGATACTAAACAATTAAATGTAAAAAAAACAAAACAGACGTTATACTCACCTGCTGTGTGCAGTGGTTTTGCACAGAGCAGCCCTGCCACGTTTGCGTTTAGCATTTTTTTTTTTTTTTTGCCCCCCAATCTTTTTTGGGATCAAAAAAATGTCCAAAAACGCCGGTTTGCAGTGTTCCTGCGTTTTTCAGCATTAGAGCATTTTTACAGCTAAAAAACTCCTCTTGGAACCCACTAGTCCTGGGGGGTTTTTTCCAGCCAAAAAAACGTTGATTCCAGTCTATGTGTGCATGGACACATAGGATAACATGCTGGGGGGTTTACTGGATGTAGAAAAAAACCCGCCAAAAGCCAAAAACAGCCGCTGTAAAAATGTCCCGTGTGCATGAGGACTTAAAGTGATACTAAACAATTAAATAAAGATAAAAAAAAGTGGTACTCACCTGCTGTGTGCAGTGGTTTTGCACAGAGCAGCCCTGCCACGTTTGCGTTTTTTTAGCATTTTTTTTTTTTTTGCCCCCCAATCTTTTTTGGGATCAAAAAAATGTCCAAAAAGCCGGTTTGCAGTGTTCCTGCGTTTTTCAGCATTAGAGCATTTTTACAGCTAAAAAAACTCCTCTTGGAACCCACTAGTCCTGGGGGGTTTTTTCCAGCCAAAAAACGTTGATTTCAGTCTATGTGTGTACGGACACCTAGGATAACATGCTGGGGGGTTTACTAGCTGTAGAAAAAAATGTCAAAAGCCAAAAACAGCCGCTGTAAAAACGTTGAGTGTGCATGAGGACTAAGTCACGCGATTTCAAAGTCGGGCTTGATGTGACTGGGGTGTTAGGAGACAAGCCATAAACTTTGGAGCATGCCCAGTCCATTTCACATTTGTACAGGCATGTAAGCAGACACGTGAACAGCTCTCTGTATGTCTGAGTGTAAGAAACCGTCATGCATCGTCATCGGTTTGTAATTGTTTATATATTGCCAGACCAAATGCCAATGCTGGCCATACACACGTCAATTTTATTTTCTGGTCGATGGACTATTTGATACTTTATACAGTATACAGCTATTATACTTATATATACTTGTATAATATATAGCTGTATATATATTTATACATATAAATAAATATATATATATATACAGTGGGGCAAAAAAGTATTTAGTCAGCCACCAATTGTGCAAGTTCTCCCACTTAAAAAGATGAGAGAGGCCTGTAATTGGCATCATAGGTAGACCTCAACTATGAGAGACAAAATGAGAAAAAACATCCAGACAATCACATTGGCTGATTTGGAAAGAATTTATTTGCAAATTATGGTGGAAAATAAGTATTTGGTCAATATCAAAAGTTCATCTCAATACTTTGTTATATATCCTTTGTTGGCAATGACAGAGGTCAGACATTTCCTGTAAGTCTTCACAAGGTTGGCACACACTGTTGCTGGTATGTTGGCCCATCCTCCATGCAGATCTCCTCTAGAGCAGTGATGTTTTGGGGCTGTCGCTGGGCAACACGGACTTTCAACTCCCTCCAAAGGTTTTCTATGGGGTTGAGATCTGGAGACTGGCTAGGCCACTCCAGGACCTTGAAATGCTTCTTACGAAGCCACTCCTTCATTGCCCGGGCAATATGTTTGGGATCATTGTCATGTTGGAAGACCCAGCCACGTTTCATCTTCAATGCCCTTGCTGATGGAAGGAGGTTTTCACTCAAAATCTCACGATACATGGCCCCATTCATTCTGTCCTGTACATGGATCAGTCATCCTGGTCCCTTTGTGGCAAAACAGCCCCAAAGCATGATGTTGCCACCCCCATGCTTCACAGTAGGTATGGTGTTCTTTGGATGCAACTCAGCATTCTCTCTCCTCCAAACACGAGGAGTTGTGTTTCTACCAGACAGTTCTATTTTGGTTTCATCTGACCATATGACATTCTCCAAATCCTCTTCTGGATCATCCAAATGCTCTCTAGCAAACTTCAGACGGGCCCGGACATGTACTGGCTTAAGCAGGGGGACACGTCTGGCACTGCAGGACCTGAGTCCCTGGCAGCGTAGTGTGTTACTGATGGTAGCCTTTGTTACGTTGGTCCCAGCTCTCTGCAGGTCATTCACTAGGTCCCCCCGTGTGGTCCTGGAATTTTTGCTCACCGTTCTTGTGATCATCTTGACCCCACGGGGTGAGATCTTGCGTGGAGCCCCAGATTGAGGGAGATTATCAGTGGTCTTGTATGTCTTCCATTTTCTAATTATTGCTCCCACAGTTGATTTGTTCACACCAAGCTGCTTGCCTATTGCAGATTCAGTCTTCCCAGCCTGGTGCAG